CAGTGAGCGGCCGGTCTGTATGTGGGATCTGAACCCTCAGCGGGAGCGCCGCTGCGCTCTCAAGCGGCGCACTGTAGTAGTGCGCCACCGGGCCGGCCCTAAGGTGAAGTTTTTAATCACAAATTTAAATAGTTGAAAACGGTATAATTTCCAATGTACCATCAATATTGATATTTAAAAATAAAGCTATTGTATCACCTTTAAGAAGGCTTTTGTGTCTAGTGGAATGTAATTCCGTGGAGAGTAGATATGCACCACAATCCATTTAGATAGGCAAACTGTTCAAATTTAATATTGTTCCTTTTTCTTCTAGAAACTGTTCTTTACATTTCCCCTACAAAACTTTATCCTGATGTTTATGAAAGTATTTTATTGATCATTCTTTCGTTCTTTGCAGCATGTTTGTATATAACTTGAAATGTTAAATTTTAATTTGCCATAACCATAAGGGCACCAAATGTTCATGTTTTTTTTGGGATTGAGTTACTAAAACTTGTTACTATTAATTGACCCAAACAGCAAATTGTACACGTTGATACTTGGAGCAAAATTTTATTGGAAATGTACCTTTTAGTAGATGGGGGAGGATGTAATGGTCTCCATTAAAGGTTGTTTCATTGACCAGTCTTTCATATTGTACTCTTGTGTGGTTTCCCAAAGTTTTTTAAAAATAGGTTGAATATACTTAAAGGCTGTTAACTGTAGTGGACCAAACTATTCAGGATGGGTGAGTGACACCTTCTGTAAAGTGTGAGAAGGTGAATTAGTCCGTTTTTGTTGCTTATAACAAAGTACACTGAACTTGGTGATTTATAAAGAAAATGAAATTTATTGCTTACAGTTTCTGAGGCTGGGAAGTCCAAAGTCCATCTGGTGGTGGCAACAGCGACCCAGGGGTCTCACATCGCAAGATAGTGGAAGCAGAGAGAGCAGAGACACAGACTCTCTTCTTCTTTTAAAGCCCTCAGAACCACACCCCTGACCACCATTTTTAATCCATCCACTACTGCACGGTCTGACAATCCAATCACCTCTTTACAGCTCCACTTTCGATTACCATAATAGGATTTCCCACCCTCTTAACAGTCACAGTGGGGACTAAGTTTCTGATACATAAAACATGGAAGACAATTCAAGCCTCAGTGAGTTTTGGGGGGACATAATTCAATCCACTACAGAAGGGAAGATAGGAAAGGCGAAAAGGCTTGATACTCTCATTGCAAGTGTGTACACAGGCATGGCAATTTTATGAACGTTATGTGGAACTTATCTAGAAAGTAATTCTTGAACTATCCATGCCCACATCCTCCTTTGAGAGTTTTTGGGTACCATTGGGGTACAGGTAACTCAGTTGGAAAATAGCTACTTGAGCACTCTTGTAGTGGGCTAAAAACATGTTCACCTTAGCATAGCACTGTTATAGCAATTAAACACTCATGTCCATCAGTAAGGGTACAGATGAATGTGTGGTCTCGGTAGAATACTGTTTAGTGGTTAAGTTGCCATTTTAGAAAAAAGTAATCCTGTGTTCATGGATATGTATGAAAGGAAAACCCATGATGGTGGGGATCAGGACAAGGGGGTTATGCATAAAAGGCAATGAAGATAAAGGTTTGCTTTTTTTTTTTTTTTCGTAATAACTTCGTATAGCATACATTGGTTAAGTTGCCATTTTAGAAAAAAGTAATCCTGTGTTCATGGATATGTATGAAAGGAAAACCCATGATGGTGGGGATCAGGACAAGGGGGTTATGCATAAAAGGCAATGAAGATAAAGGTTTGCTTTTTTTTTTTTTTTTAAAGTGTGAATTCAAGATAGTAAACATATGTTAAGTTCTTTGGGCTTAGTATGTATCTCTATGGGATGAATATTGTGTCTAACTTGGTGAAAGGACAAAGTATTGATTAATAAAGGGCAAAGTGCCAGTGTGCAGTCATACTCAAATTATGCCAACTGAAATAGGTATATAAAATTCATTTCTGCCATCGAAAGCCTGTCTGGTATTGTAATAGTGATTTAAACACTCCTGAGTTCCTGTATGGTTTTTTTAGCCAGGGTCATGATTGGGATTCCCTAGGATTAGGTAAGGAATGGTGTTCAAGTCTAAGCCTTTTGGCTTGAAAAAGTATCTTTGCTTAGAATTCCTAGATGCTAAGGTTATCCAAAGTTCTTTAAACTGAAATAAACATCTTCCTTTTGTGAACGGTCAGTGGTACCCAAACACCAGATTCTTCATAATTTTTATTCAAGCAACACAGTCTCTTATTTAAAAAAATTAAATACATATTAAATAAAAGATCATCCAATAGTGAACATTTATTTATTTGTTTGTTTGGCTGGCAGCTGGCTGGAATGGGGATCTGAACCCTTGGCCATGGTGTTACCAGCATCACTCTCCCAAGTGAGCTAAGCAGCCAGCCCTGAACATTTATTTTTGATTGTAGAACTTGAGTATTTCTTGCAATAACACTTGGTTATCCCCTGATCAGAAAAATACTCGTCCCAGCTCAAACAGTACCTTAGGATGGTAAAATGTGAATTATTAATTTCATGGCAAACGAATCATTGGTAGAAATTAAAATGACTCTTCCAAAATTGTGCCTAGTGAAAAATGCTCCTGAATGAGTATTTGCCTTTCTCACTTGGCATCCCCCAAATCTGAGGCATAGGTACTTGATTTGATGTTTGGCTGTTCATTATACAACTAGAACTATTTCCAAATGCTATCTTTAAAAGTGTGGAACCTTTTCAAAAATTACATTTAATGCATTTGCAAAATATTTCAGTCATTAGAAACTTACTTCACTTCCAAACAGACTTAGTAATTAGAATGAGTCATATTCTTTACTGCTATAATTTTCTTTCTCAAATTATTTTTATTATTATCAAAGCTCCTGTATTTGGAAACCAATGGTAAGTGATTATGGTACACAGCACTTCTATTTACCTCTATGGTGATGAGGATGACGATCATCCACTCCAGGCGAAGTGCCCTCTTTTCCTGCAGGTGATTCCGCATTAGATCTGTTAGTTCCATGCAGTGCTGAAGTTTTTCATTCATGACCTGTAAGAAAGACCTTAGTATCACGTATTTTAAACAATTTAAGAAAATAATATGGTCACATGCTTCAAAATTCTATAGATGTGCAGTGAAAAATCATTCCTTCCACTCTTGCTTGCCAGTCCTCTCCTCAAAGGCAACCAGCCAGTGTTACCAGTTTCTTGTGAATTTATCCAGACACATTTCGTAATGCACAGATTTAACTGCAAGAAATACTTCGCATACCAGAGCTCTTCTATTTGTAAGATTTTGATGGAAGATCTAAAAATAAGATTTTTGAGTCCTAGTTTTTGGTAGCTGCCCTAGGGTTTTTAGCATTTAAAAAAGGCAAACTTGAAACATGATTCATTGTTTTTGTCATCTTTAGGCCATGCTTTAAAAAAAAAATTACCTTCTACTAAAAAACCCAAACACTTAACATTTGATCTGCTGCACACTCACCATTAGATGGCACTGCTTTTAACTCTGCCCACAAAGGTTCTGGTTGCAGGGGTGGTTCACAGAAAATGGAATCTTTGAATTTAAAACTTGGGTGGGACTACTGGCAAATTATGTACCTACTTAATATCTCCATATATCTTTTCTCGTATAACTTATATAATGTATGCTATACGAAGTTATTACGAATTTATCCAGACACATTTCGTAATGCACAGATTTAACTGCAAGAAATACTTCGCATACCAGAGCTCTTCTATTTGTAAGATTTTGATGGAAGATCTAAAAATAAGATTTTTGAGTCCTAGTTTTTGGTAGCTGCCCTAGGGTTTTTAGCATTTAAAAAAGGCAAACTTGAAACATGATTCATTGTTTTTGTCATCTTTAGGCCATGCTTTAAAAAAAAAATTACCTTCTACTAAAAAACCCAAACACTTAACATTTGATCTGCTGCACACTCACCATTAGATGGCACTGCTTTTAACTCTGCCCACAAAGGTTCTGTATTATGATGCCTCACAAGCTGGTTGCAGGGTGGTTCACAGAAAATGGAATCTTTGAATTTAAAACTTGGGTGGGACTACTGGCAAATTATGTACCTACTTAATATCTCCATATATCTTTTCCTCTGGAAATTAGAAAGTCTGGAAACAAAATTTTTAAATAGTTTGATTCTCTTGTAGCATATGGTAAATGTGCAGGTTTGGTCAGTAAAAAAAGACTAATCACAGATGCATGTGCAGGTATTGATAGAACATGCTAGCACACCATATTATTGGAAACAAAATTTTTAAAGAGTTTGATTCTCTTGTAGCATATGGTAAATGTGCAGGTTTGGTCAGTGAAAAAAGACTAATCACAGATGCATGTGCAGGTATTGATAGAACATGCTAGCACACCATATTATGGTTTTGCATAGTGCATTAAACTGCCCTAAAGAGGGATAACACAGTCAACCATATTTCCAGACTTATGGTCACCCTGTAGTTTCTAATCTGAATAAATGTTTGGAATAGTGCCTCTTTCCTTCTTCCTTTCCTTTCTTTTTAAAAAACTTTTGTTTCTATTGACTGTTTGATCTTGGTCTATAATGTGTTGATCCTTACCCTTGCTTCTCTCTTCAAACTACTGACTCACCCCTCTTCCATTTTCTTTCACCTTTGACCAAAGAATAGACATTTTCTTTCTCTACTTCCTCATCACCCAATTGATTCCTTAACTCTTTACAAATTATATATATTATCACAACTCCCCCTGAAATTTCCCAAAGTATCCTAATTGTTAGATTTAAGAACTTTCTTGGTTCCAAACCTCAATCCAAGCATTTATAATACATTGAAATGTGTAAGCAAGAGTCCCTAATACTGCATGCTTCCCTTTTTGATTTAGTTGTAGGTGTGCATGTTACATGCATGCAAATGAGGAGCAGGAAAAAGTGAAGTCTTCACAGAGATGGTCAATGTTAATTAGGCTTTAAACAGGCAATTGCCATGAAGAAAAAGTGGGGTGCCAGTGGGAGGGGGCAGAAGGGGAGCATTTCAAGCAGAGGAAATGGCATGGAGACAATCATAGTTATATAGTGAACAACTTGGAAAGAAGTGCTTAGAAGTGAGTTTAAGAGGTAAATTAGTACCAAATTGTGAAAGGTACTGTATACCACATGTGGTATAGGCATAATAATGCCACCCACCTCAAAAATAAATCCAAATGCCTGGATCGTGTGAATATAACATAGCAAAGGAGAATTAAGATTGTATACGAGATTAAGATTGCTTTGGATCCCTGTACTGGCAGCAATACAAAACAAAACAAAAAAAAGATTGCTAATCAGCTGATCTTAAGATAGGGAGATAATCCTAGATTACCTGAGTGAGCCCCATGTAATCATGAGGGTCTTTAAAATTAGAAATGGCACACAGATGAGTTCAGAATGATAAATGTGAGGATTCAACTTGCCCTTGCTAGGTGGCGGAAGGGGCTAAGAGCCAAGGAATGTGGGTGGTCTCTAGGAACTGGAAAAGACAAGAAAACTGATCCTACCCACAGCCTCCAGAAAGGAACATAGCCCTGCCAACACCTTGATTTTAGCCCAGTGACATCCAAGCCAGATTTCTGACCTCTACAGACTTATAAGAAGCCTCTAGGTTTGCTTTAGCAGCAGCAGCAGAAGAAGACAAATACACCATGCTATGATGTCTGAACATTATTCTGCAGGTAATGGGGAGTCCTTTGTTCAATCGTGCTATATTTGTTAAACATTTACTATACTGTGCTGGGCAGAGAAGATAGAAAGGTGAATAAGACAATTCTCTCTGCCTTCTGGCCAAAGGGTGCAGAGGTACTGGAAAAGGGCCCAGTCTAGAGGCTGGGAGACAGTGAGAAGTTATTAGACCAGCCCAGGTGAAAGGGGAGGGTAAGTGCCTGTGGGAATGCATGTTAATAGCTGGGGGCTGGGAGGCAGGGGACAGCATGGTACTCCTCCCTGTTTCACTACCCCGGGCTCTATCACACATGCTTTCCATCAATATTTTCCAAGGAATGAATGTAACTCAGAAGAAAATGAGAAGATGATCTGACTGACTGGATATGGAGAGTAAAGCAGAAAGTGGACACCCAGATGACTTAAGTTTCTGGTTGAATGACTAGGTGGTCCTGCCATTAGCTGAAATAGTGAACAATATTTTCTGAGACAACATAATGAGTTTCATTTTGAAATCATGCCCACCCCTGCCACTCAAGTGAGAGCTGGGGAGAAACTAAAGCCGTCTTTTTGGCCCCCTGAGGCTAACCCTGGTCCACGGGCTACCTGCACCTCTAGATTCTGGATTCACAGACCAAGTCCAAGCCAGTTCTTATGTTGTTACCAAGGCCCCCACATGGCATTCTTGGGGCTTGTCTTTTTGTACATTTTATTAGAGAGGACTGTAAAATAGCCACTTAGACCCTTTACCTCTTCAGTATGCAAATGTAAACAAATTGTAATGTAGGAAATCTTGTTTGAATATATACAAGACTGAGCCTGTCCAAAATCTGCTGTACATTATTAAAAGTTTTATTCACAGGGGCCGGCCCGGTGGCGCACTGCTACAGTGCGCCACTTGGGAGTGCGGCGGCGCTCCCGCCAAGGGTTCAGATCCCACATACAGACCGGTTCCCGCTCACTGGCTGAGCGAGGTGCGGGTGTGACACTGAGGGTTGCGATCCCGTTGCCGGACACGAAAAAAGACAAAAAGGAAAAAAAAAAAAAGTTTTATTCACAGAAAAAAAAGCTTCATGGATTAACTATACTAATATTTATTGAGTACATACTATATGTGAGGACTCTTGACAAGAACTGGGAAGACAGCAGAGTTTTATTCACAGAAAAAAAAGCTTCATGGATTAACTATACAAATATTTATTGAGTACATACTATATGTGAGGACTCTTGACAAGAACTGGGAAGACAGCAGAGAAGAAAATCATCATCTCTGAGCTCACAGAACTTATGTTCTATTGGGGAATGATAATTCTAAAAAGGATTCTAGGAGATATGTAAATGTGGAAGATTTGTGACATTTAGTAAGCAACTGGAAACATTTGGAAGGCAAACGAGATGAAGGTGAGAGATACACATTTGAAAATTATCAGGAAAGAGTGAAAAGAATAGATGACAGAAGGTTGCAGGATACCAACTTGAGAAAATGGAACAAGGGACCCACTGCAAACTGGCTTCTGTCCCCACGGCCCTTCTGTAACTGCTCCCTGAATCTTTTTCAGTAATCTAATGACCAAATGAAATGACTTGACTTCTGTCCTCAACTTTGACTGCTTTTCAGCACATCTTATGCCTAATCACCCCTATTTTTCTCTCAAGACTTTTCTCTCTGCCTTTTGAAGAAAAAGACAAGGAACAACTTGCTCCTAGCACTGCCATTGCTCTGTCTTCTTGTAACACTGTAAAGCTGGATGAAGGTCAGGACCAGTTATCTTTCTGTGTTACCTGTAGTGCCAGTACTGTTGTGGTGAGCTTAGCAAGGGAGGCCAAACTCTTCTAACCCCTTCTAAATAATCTTTACATAATCTCACTAGTCTTAACTGCCTTTGGGATACTAACTAAGAAAATGCTCTGAGAAATGTAGTTTGAGAACTTTGGGTATGCTTCCTAACTTGTGGAGGATTTAACACCAGAGAGGTGTCTCAGAGTGAGACTGGGGAATGAAATGAAGAACAATTAGCTTGCTAGTGGAAGGCGGGGGGGGGGGGGGGAGAGACCTCTTCTGTGGAGAATGTCAGGCACTTTAGAGAAAGCATAGGAAAGGAATCTTTCTGTATCTTCCTGTTCTTTGGCAAAATCTTTTCACTGGATCTTTTCATTGAAGCTTTTATTCATTCAACCAACATTACCGAAGGCCTATTATGTGCTCTGATAATGTAGAGAACCAAAAGACACAGAACTTCCCTTAGGAAATGCATAGTCCAAGAGACAGACATGTAACCAGACCATCATGATGAAGTCTATGAAGTGCTATACCCGAGGGACACATACAGAGTCCTCCAGAAGCACTGAGATAAGGAGTGGGAAA